GTTAGAGTATTTTAAAGAAAAAAATGAAAGAAACAATTACATCACTTAAAAACCGCATAATTTTTATAAATAAAAAACTTCCTGCCCATATTAATTTTATCCCAATATTTAAGCATTCTCTAATCTCATTTTCGTAATTGTATTTTGTTTTCAAACCTCTTTCGACATAGTTTATATTGTGAATTATACTTCTTAAACATATGTACGTGTTTTTTTCTCAAAGAATAACCCTGTGGTGAATGAAATATTTTTCATTATATAAAAAAAGTTTACTGCTTTTAAAGCATAGAATTTGAAGAAAGCAGATATACGTATTTCAGTCAATCGGAAATAACGCCCTCCGAGAGTAACGTGGAGTGTTAAAATCCGCCTAGTGTTGGAATGTTTTTCACTATAGGTATTTGGATAAAAAAATAGACTTTAAACATGTTTACTTTCCCTTTATGCAGTAAGAATATTATCAAAAAATGCACATAACATCAAATTTCTGTGCTACAAAATATGATTTTTATAGTAATATCAGAACGGTTAGTACTTCAGCCTATTCTGCATCTGAGTATTCCATTTAGTTTAATCCTACAAAGTTCCACTTTCAGTACCCACTTACAGTTTTCTTTGGAAGACTAATTAAATCTCTAATCCTGCTTCGTGCAACTATCTTTGATGAAAGAAAACATTTTGGTAAGCGGTTTAGGAATATTCAAGTTTAAAGCGGTTGTAATAATAATGTAAATCTGAGCTTTCCAAGGAAGAAAATAACTACGTAATATTCCAGTAATAAAGCCCCGAGTGTGCTGACCATTACACCACGAAGACATAGTAAAAAGGCCTGAGGAATACTTTATATCGTATATTTACCTGTACTGCGTAACTTGGAGATATGCACATAACATTAAATTTCTGTGCTACAAAATGTAATTTTTATAGTAATATCAGAACGGTTAGTACTTCAGCCTATTCTGCATCTGAGTATTCCATTTAGTTTAATCCTACAAAGTTCCACTTTCAGTACCCACTTACAGTTTTCTCTGGAAGACTAAGACCAAATAATCTCTAATCCTGCTTCGTGCAACTATCTTTGATGAAAGAATTTGGTAAGCGGTTTAGGAATATTCGAGTTTAAAGCGGTTGTAATAATAATGTAAATCTGAGCTTTCCAAGGAAGAAAATAACTACGTAATATTCCAATAATAAAGCGCCGAGTGTGCTGACCATTATTACACCACGAAGACATAGTAAGAAGGCCTGAGGAATACTTTATATCGTATATTTACCTGTACTGCGTAACTTGGAGATAAATGGATAAATGAAGAATGCTCGATGGAACGTCAAGCGAATTGAAAAAAACTGACATTGCAGCCGACGCATTCACTAGAAAATTTCTGTGTTCAGAGAGAGCAATACCTTCGAAACTTTCGATCTTGTCCTAGCTTCAAGTGCTTCTTGAGTTACGTTGCAGAGATGATGTTGACTATTATAGGACTTTCAGATTTTTTTCGAAACCACCACAGTTCTAAGAGAAGAGAGTGACTATTATGAATATCTGTTGCGCCTATGGTTTTTACTTGCGTAGAAGCAGCTGCTTTGTAATATCTAGTACAGATTATATAATATTTCCATTTTGTAATCCATTTTGTTCATAATGCATACTATCTAATGAACGTGTACTCGTCTTTCTACATTTCGGTGCTTTAACACCCGTTTGCTCATATTAAATGCACCAATAACTAGCAACAAGCTTTGCAATTACTTCTTACTTGCTATTCTTTTTCATTCTTTTAATACATGGCATAGTTTATTTTATGCTCTAGCTGGAACCTTATCGAATATTTTTTTTCCTTTGTTATCATATAAGCACACTTCTCTGCTCTCAGTTTCACTCCTGAAGCTGAAATAGGAGGTTAATATTAACGTTTGAAAGAGTAGTTTGGGAAACGTATGCACGTTGCACCGATATTTACAGATAAATTTTAGTATCTTTAAAATTTCTGATATATAACGATATTTTAGTATCTTATATGGAGTGTTCTTTTTTGTTAAAATTTATTTGCTCTACTTCCTTGTACTTATTCATTGAGCTTTCTTTGTTGGTGTTCGGTTGCTTGCTGATTACTGTTTCAGTGTTTGTAAATAGTTCTTTTATTTATGCTGACAGAACGTTGGGTCATAGCTGATTTTATAGATTTCACGGAACATATTTCACTGCGGTGGGGTATCAGAAACTAATCTACGTACTTCTTCATATGTAATGTCTTTAGTACCTTTGGTAAATTGCACATCCTTCACAGTTTTCGACATGTGACAAGGAATGGGAGAAAGCATGTGTTCTCTTTGACATATTATGAACAGCAGCACAGTTTTGCAAATATAACTGGCGTGATCCTTTACAGAGCACAACCAGTATATATTTTATCGCTACATGACTCCTATCTGAAGCCAAAGCTTTGTACTAGGCCATCGCTTAGGATTGGGGATATAAGGTTCTACAAAGGATTTCAGACACTTGGCCTTTACCTTTTTCTGTAAATACGGCAACCTGAGGGTCCGAATGAAAGTGTTCCGTATCAATAAGCTGATCTTTACTTATCTCGATCAGCCAGGTGGTTCAAACATTATGATTCAAGAGTTCAAAGACAAATTTTATCTCTAAAACGAAAAAAAAGTCGATCAATCTCTGAGATCACTTCGCAAGAATATTTCAATGTTTTGTGTGTTGAGACAGAAATTTTTACATTTCCAAGTTTAATCACACCAAGAGAGGTAGCAAATTGACTACGAGAAATGTTTTTATTAAGAGTTCACTACAACTTAGCCGTTTCATATAATCTGGTATTCCAGTATCTGATTATATGTATTTCTTTATTAAATGTGGGGATATAACTACTTAAGCTGAGTTCTTAGTACCAGAAAAAATCTAATAGGCATTTAGATTGCCTAGTATCGGCTAGAATGTGCACTTATTTTTATGTTTTAGAATACCCTATAGCATGAGAAATTGATTGTTGTTTTGAAACAGCCATATTTAGAATGAAGAAAGATTCAAAGCCGGCCGTCCATTTCACCATGAAGCCATATAGAGAAGCGCCTGTTTCTTGTTTCAGGGCTAATCGTGTCTATACAGTCATTGAAGACAGAAATACAGCTCTTCCAAAAGTTTAAATATCCGATTGCTTATCTCGAAGCTATTTGCTCTAAAGACTAGTGACTAGCCGGTTAGCACTAACGCAGACTACAAAGTAGCTCTCGTTTTACTAAAGAAAAGGCCAAAGCTGTATATTGGGAACAATACATAGCTCATCAACAACCAGATATTCCCTTTTAAGTCTTACGGGTCTCCACTCATGGCAAACGTATAAGCAGTTTTTTGCCATGGAAAGGGCCGAAGGAATGTATCAGCATGTCATGGTGATCCCAGTTTTAAGAAAAAAATGTGTGTATGTGATTATGGCAAAGCATCGAGGGCTATCTGCCTGAGGCGAAAGATGCCTTCGAGGAGAACTTTCTAAAGGAAACTGGCTCGTATACACGTTATACCATGGAAAACTACGAGAATATACATGCAGCCAGCCCGTTCGCGGGACTCGAATCTATAACCAAACTACCAATGTTCAGCGACTTTACTTCTGGGCCGCTGGATGGGTATTTTTTGAAAAGGAAACTCAAAGGAGAAAGAAAAGCAAAAGGTTAGATTGTAGAGACATTAGGTTATTTTGATGCTGGAGACGTGAAAACAAGCAATGCCCTCGCCGGGACTCGCACCTGGATATCTCGAAAACGCGCCGATTGTACTACCGTTACACCACGAAACCATGCAGAAAGGAGGGAGTAAATACCTTATATACTTTTCCTTTTAAAATGCGACTGAGAATTAGGGGACCCAGTCGCCAAATACTGGTGGTGAAGAATCATCATACACCACCTCTTAGTTTGTGCACCACTGTAGAGACATTAGGTTATTCTGATGCTGAAGACCTGGAAAATGAATAATGTCCTGGCCGAGACTCAAACCTGAACTCTCGAATACGCGCCGAATGTGCTACCGTTACACCACGAAGGCATGCAGAAAAGAGGGAGAAAATACCTTATAAGATAACAGAAAAAAGATTAAATGAAAGACAAACTCGGGTGGTGCAATGTCGTGATACTTGTATTCACTTTTCTAGCTCATGATAAAATTCTACTAGGAATGGTAAGATAAGAGGAAATGGAATTAAAGGAAGGTCAATGGAGGGTCCCACTGCCTTTACACCCGTATTCACTTTTCTAGCTTGTGTATTACTTTCTAGCTTGTGTTAAAATGTGCTCAAAGCTGCTAATTAAACTCATGCATTAATTTTCATAGGTTTGTTTGTTATACCTATATTAATGATAGTTATTCAATTGAAATATAAACAAAAATTTATTGCGTACAAACCATTTATTACGTAACACCGTCTACACTAATTTTTATTTATTCTGATATATTTTTAATCCTTATAGATCTTATAAATTCCGGGATACTTATAGGTTTCAGAAATTCATGTCTATTGGAATGAAATGGGGAAACGTCTAAGGGATGGAAAATATTTGATCTAAAATTACTGTTGTAAATATGTGACAACCTATTTTAAAATTAGCAAGGTAACAAACTTGTATTTGTAGGCGTAGATTTACACAAAAAAACTCTCGAGTTTCAGTCTAAATCTATGCCGAATGCAAGATTGTTTCTTTACTAATTTTAAATTTTATTTTAGCATGTTACCGTTCTGATTTGAAAACCTGGTGTTAATGCATTTTGCAAATTTTTTATTCATTATGTGCATTGGTGTATTTCATATAATAAAACTTATACGCTTAAATTAGCGCATAAATTTAACATGCCCAGCTCTGAGAAATATATTTTCTTATTTAATCGTTTGTTCATTTGAAAGATAAATGCACATAAGTAAAAAATTTTGAAGAATCTCTAAAATATTCTGATACATTTCAAATTATTTATTTTCTAATTTTCTATACTCTAGGTTTATGAAGCTTTGACTGGTATTCCTGGCCTCAAAGTATACAAAAAGGATGAAATTCCAGAACATTATCATGTGAAACATAATAGATTAACTCTTCCGTTATTGCTTGTGGCATCCAAAAATTATTATATTCAGGGAGTGAGTAAAATATTTTTCATATATATTTTTCTGTAAAACCCTTGTGTGTATATGTGTGGATGAACAAGCTAAGTCTGAAACGTTGTTTAGGAACGATATTTCAATTTTTGTCTCTCTTACCAGTTACCGATTTTTTTAATTCCTTTTCTCTGTCGCGTTTTCATTCACACTTGTTCTCCAGGAAAAGAAGGTGAATGTGTAAACGAGATATATTTAGCCTTACGCATTATTTCCCTTTTCATCCTGTGCTATATACGGAGAATATATTTTACTCCTTTGTATATTATTTTAAGCATTTAACTCCTTTGCATATTATTGCATTTTAAGCATTTATATTTTTGGCAACATTTATGAGTGTGCATGAGCGATTCATGCATTTAGTGATGAAGCAAATTTAAATGGCGAATTCTGATAAACGGTGAATTGCTGCCCTCATTCAGGAAAACACTTACAGTAGACATTATATTATCTGTCCCTTTTAACTTATGAACTTATTATAACTTATTATCTGTACCTTTTAACTTATGAACGCATGGTACAGGTTCAGAACTTTATTAGAATTAATTAGTCTATTTTGTGGGTTCACTATATAATGCACAACGTTAGTGCTGCCTTGTCTCCTTTAAACCCATCCTAAAGACTGATATCAACAGATTTTGCTTACTGTATTGCAAATATTTGCAGCTTGTCTTGGTATGATTATTTTAAATGGATGTTTAGTGAACTCGTGTTTTTAAAGCACTGAAGGCGCGCAAAAGCGTCTGACAAGTAAGACTTTTTGTTTTATAATTATATCTAATTTCTGAACACAGCACTGCAATCTCTATTCTTATCTATATAGAAGTACGTGTTCACAGTGCTTTGTAAGGTTCCATAAATGTCAAAGATTTGCTACTGTTGGTGTCATTTATTAAGAAAATAAGGCATTAAGCTTAAGAATCACAATAAGCAATATTTTATTTGTCCAATTAAATTCGAGATTCCGAGTTTTAAAGCAAGAAACTTTAGTCTCGTTTTTTTTTTTTTAATAAGGAAACTAAATCTACCATTCCCTAACAGTAGATTGAAATGCAACTAAGTTTGACAGGCTCTGCAATTAAGTAAAGGTAAAAGTTTATTATTTTATTTTATTATTTTACTATTATATTAAATACTTTACCATTCTTGTACTAGAAAGACGTAGTTCTATCTCTACATATAAATAAAAGAAAGAGTCTGTCTGTGTGTGTATGTGCGTCTTTCGTTTGCGCTGCGCGTAAGCTAATAGACCCACGGCTACGAAATTTGGTACATAGGTGCATCTAGACAAGAGCCAGTGCACCTCGAACCGAGTTTTTCGATATTCGAATTAGAATTTTTTTTATTTTATGTTTTGTGACGACATCGCGTCATTTTGAGACTTAATGGGCTATAAGAAAGCGTGATTTTACTCTACGCAATCCATTTTCACATCGTCATGAAACGTAGGCACTTAGCTATTTTACGAACTTAAAAGTAAATTTCGTGTTTCAATAAATCGCTTCAATACGAATTTATTTAACAAAGGGAGCTTAACACCTTTTCAACGGGATTTTTTCTAAAAAAGCTTATTTTATAAAAATGTACAGTTTATTTTTCTTTGATTATTGGACACGTTAAACTTTCATCCTTGCGACTCCTTTTACAAAAAGAATTTTGGAAAAATGATAATAGTTTGTATTTTTAAAAAACTCTTTAAATCAAGCTTCCGAGTAAACTTCCCACATCTAACATCTTTAAAAATGTGATTTTGGCAACAATTTTCCTGTCTTATTCTTGTTGATAGATTTTTGATTAAAGCGCATCATTTTGCATAGTTTCATTCTTTTAGAAATATGGGTTTGGCAACAATTTTTCATCTTATTTATTTTGTCACTGTTTTTAAGAGATTAGCATATTTCATTGTCATTTATATACGTTTATTGATCAATAAAAATGTATATAAATACATTTTTATTGATTTCTTTTTTGATAAAGTTGTTCTGCAGAGTAAAATTCTGAGCGGAATTTTATGTTTTTTGAGTTGCTTTCATGTTATTTTTTGCTTATTTCACTTTTTGTAAGATATTGAAAAGTTTTGCATGATTTTTTTTCTTCAACGGTAAGTTGGTTAATTTTTTTTTATTAGGGTAGTTAATATTTGTGTTAAGGAATATAGCTTATTTCATTGTAATTTTTTTCGTCTTGAAAATATAAGATAAAATATCATTAATTATATTTTGCTTTTCAGAATATTTTGTTTTTTGTATTCTTTTATGTTATTTATTGCACATTTCACTGTTTTTAAGGTATTGAAAAGTTTTGAGTGATTTTTTTTAGGAAACAATGTTCTTAACCTCCTTTATGCCATTTGAGTTCTTAAGATTTTGCAAAGGGAAGTTGGTTAATTTATTTATTAGGATAATTAATATTAAGGGATATTGCTTATTTCATTGTAATTTTGTTATACGCAATAACGTTTTTATGAAGTTGTTCTGCAGAGTAAAATTCTTCGCAGTTTTTTAATTTAACGTTTGGTGTTCCCTTCAGCCATTTTTCCGGTACATTTAAAAGCCAGACGAAGGCTGGCAGCGATGCTGCTAGCATGTTAATATATTTACACAAAATCTCAACTTTTCAAATAGTGTTATGTAGAGAAATTATCTGATAGCGTTATAAAAAAAATTAAATGAATGATTTTATGATTTATGGAAATTTAAATTTTATTTTGATTCTGAATTATTTAATTTAAGGCTTTAATTTTGGGGAGAAACAGATGCTTCTGGAAATATTATTTAGTTTAAATGAATATTATTTATTTTCTTTTATTTGTAAATCTTGTACAAACTTTTATTCATTGTGAAAGAAGCGGGGAAAGGGAGGCAATTTTCGCCAAGTCATGATTTCGCGCGCTTTAGAATGTTCGAGAAAGAATTTTCATTGTTAGTTGAACCTTAAGAGAGGAAAGTACGTGACGCAAAGGTCAAAGGTTGCTACTTGTCTTTCAATGTAAGTCATTCAGGTTTTTGGCGATTGAGGGTCCGGTTTTGGCTAAGTGAAGAAGGGCGCGCATGCGCGATCACCCTTTTTTTTTTTCCGCATTCTGGAGTTGAAAACGAAGATTTGGCCATAATTAGGGGGCGATAAGTGAAGCCATAGTGGGAGCCCGTTTGGTGAAGGAGAAGAAGGAAATTTGAGTTGGACACACTTACTTTTGGCTGACTCTCGGACTGACTCGCTGATTTTTGGGCTTGCTGGACAAAATGTAAGTGACTCCGAGAGGTGTTTTCCGGCGGGGAGCGGCAAATATGCTCCCCGGCCGCGTTTTGGTTAAGAGGCGAGACTCTCTTACACACTTACTCGTGGACTCGCTTAGACACTTCTTTTTGGGCTGACTCTCGGACTGACTCGCTGATTTTTGGGCTTGCTGGACAAAATGTAAGTGACTCCGAGAGGTGTTTTCCGGCGGGGAGCGGCAAATATGCTCCCCGGCCGCGTTTTGGTTAAGAGGCGAGACTCTCTTACACTCTTACTTTTTGGACTCGCGCACTTACTGGTTGGCTGGACTTGTGGATGTTACTCTGGAACTTACTTGGGACGTTACCCGTGAAGCTTGCTCTTGGGATGAGTAAGAACAGGCGAGCCGTAATTTCCTAGCAACAACGTTTCTGACCGGCGAAATTTGAACGAGTTACCTGCGTGTTGACATAGGACTTTCAGGACCAAGCGGATAGCCGTCCTGGGCAGCAGTGCTCCTGTTTCTGTTCTACAGTAGTGAAGTGGGTCTACATTTTTAGAACCAGTGTCAAGATGAGCCCGGCCGACATCAACGCGGGATAAGATAAGAGTCCTCCGCTTCAAGATGTCCCTTCAAGATAAGTTTTTATTTTTTTTGGTGTGTTTGAACTTTAGGCAAGCTTTTCAAAAACGTCCTTAGCAGAAAAAAAAACAACGTCAAATCTAAAATTTAACTCTCAGGCCTTAAATTGTTTCCCTTTCCTTTCTTTTAAATCACCAGACAAACCTTAAGTTTTTTTTATGAATTTAAATGAACAGACTCTCAGATGAGGTTAAGATTTTTCTTATTGTGTTGTAATTGAATAAACTGATATTTAATCTGGAACCTCTTACAGTATGTTTTCTTTATATATTTAATATGAACTTTTCCTTTATATCTTGTATATGTTTTATGTTTTCGATCCTCTCACGGCGCGGTCCCGGAATGCATTTTTTTCACAACGCAAAAATGCTGTACACGTTTCACTATACGATTCACTATAGATAACACTAGTGTTAAATTGCTTAAGTTCACGCCGGGAAATAATGTTATGAATCTTACTTCACGGCACCAATGTTATATCTTAAATTCATATAAAAAAAGGTTAAATATGAAACTACTTGCCGTAAAAGGCAGTAATCGTATAGTGAAACGTGTACAGCATTTTTGCGTTGTGAAAAAAATGCATTCCGGGACCGCGCCGTGAGAGGATCGAAAACATAAAACATATACAAGATATAAAGGAAAAGTTCATATTAAATATATAAAGAAAACATACTGTAAGAGGTTCCAGATTAAATATCAGTTTATTCAATTACAACACAATAAGAAAAATCTTAACCTCATCTGAGAGTCTGTTCATTTAAATTCATAAAAAAAACTTAAGGTTTGTCTGGTGATTTAAAAGAAAGGAAAGGGAAACAATTTAAGGCCTGAGAGTTAAATTTTAGATTTGACGTTGTTTTTTTTTCTGCTAAGGACGTTTTTGAAAAGCTTGCCTAAAGTTCAAACACACCAAAAAAAATAAAAACTTATCTTGAAGGGACATCTTGAAGCGGAGGACTCTTATCTTATCCCGCGTTGATGTCGGCCGGGCTCATCTTGACACTGGTTCTAAAAATGTAGACCCACTTCACTACTGTAGAACAGAAACAGGAGCACTGCTGCCCAGGACGGCTATCCGCTTGGTCCTGAAAGTCCTATGTCAACACGCAGGTAACTCGTTCAAATTTCGCCGGTCAGAAACGTTGTTGCTAGGAAATTACGGCTCGCCTGTTCTTACTCATCCCAAGAGCAAGCTTCACGGGTAACGTCCCAAGTAAGTTCCAGAGTAACATCCACAAGTCCAGCCAACCAGTAAGTGCGCGAGTCCAAAAAGTAAGAGTGTAAGAGAGTCTCGCCTCTTAACCAAAACGCGGCCGGGGAGCATATTTGCCGCTCCCCGCCGGAAAACACCTCTCGGAGTCACTTACATTTTGTCCAGCAAGCCCAAAAATCAGCGAGTCAGTCCGAGAGTCAGCCCAAAAAGAAGTGTCTAAGCGAGTCCACGAGTAAGTGTGTAAGAGAGTCTCGCCTCTTAACCAAAACGCGGCCGGGGAGCATATTTGCCGCTCCCCGCCGGGAAAACCTCTCTCTTCGTAAGTCACTTACATTTTGTCTATCGCTTTCAATCCGGTTTTCAAGAGTAACGTCCAGCAAGTCAGTTCCGAGAGTCCAGCCAAAAGTAAGTGATGTCCAACTCAAATTTCCTTCTTCTCCTTCACCAAACGGGCTCCCACTATGGCTTCACTTATCGCCCCCTTAATTATGGCCAAATCTTCGTTTTCAACTCCAGAATGCGGAAAAAAAGGGTGATCGCGCATGCGCGCCCTTCTTCACTTAGCCAACAACCGGACCCTCAATCGCCAAAAACCTGAATGACTTACATTGAAAGACAAGTAGCAACCTTTGACCTTTGCGTCACGTACTTTCCTCTCTTAAGGTCAACTAACAATGAAAATTCTTTCTCGAACATTCTAAAGCGCGCGAAATCATGACTTGGCGAAAATTGCCTCCCTTTCCCCGCTTCTTTCACAATGAATAAAGTTTGTACAAGATTTACAAATAAAAGAAAATAAATAATATTCATTTAAACTAAATAATATTTCCAGAAGCATCTGTTTCTCCCCAAAATTAAAGCCTTAAATTAAATAATTCAGAATCAAAATAAAATTTAAATTTCCATAAATCATGAAATCATTCATTTAATTTTTTTTTATAACGCTATCAGATAATTTCTCTACATAACACGGTAAACCTTGTTGGCAAAGGTGCAGAACAGGATCACTGGAAAGTGCTTCTTTCAGTTTTAAGAAAGCGTGCTGTTGCGCAGGACGAAACTCAAAAGGAGTGGACTCACGTAGTAAGTCACTGAGGGGTTTTGCAATTTTGGTATAATGTTGAATGAATTTTCGAAAGTAACCAGTTAGGCCAAGAAAACTTTGAACCTGTTTAGCTGTTTTGGGTTCAGGAAATGACTGTACAGCGCGTGTTTTGGACGGTGATGAAGGTCGAATTGGTTGCTATCTTGAATAACATAACCTAGGAATTCAATTGTTTTCTTTAGAAAGTTGCATTTCTGAAAGTTTATTTCTAGACCATAGTCTGAGGCAAGTTGAAGGACTCGTCGTAATTTTTTAATTCCGTCGTCTTCGTCCTTAGATGGAATAATTATATCATCCATATAAATTATAACAGTCTGATCGCTAATGAGAGGTCTGAATATGGTATTGATAAATCTTTGAAAAACACTAGGAGTTGTTGCACAGTCCAAAGGGAACTTTAAGGAATTCATACTGGCCTTCATGAGTAACAAATGCGCGCCCATGTAAACTCGGCGTCTAGGGGATTTCTACTCTGACGACACACATTTAGGTGACTAAGTATTTATTTAGTTATTGATGGAGATACAGTGATGAGTATTTACAAATGAAAAAAAAATAGTTATATTTGAGAAGTTAACAGCTTCGCCATCTATTAATACGTCTTAGTCGAAAACATGACTCTTCTCTTTCGCTTCCATCGTCCATCTCTCATCTCACTGCAATGCCGTTAGTTGTGTTGAGTTGTTGCACTCCTGCTACTCATATATATATATATATGTTAATAAATATAGTAAGTCTAAATGACAAAATAATAATTTAACACTTCTAAGTTTACATTAGTAGTTTCCTTGTTTCCATGATTTTAACAGTTTTTCTCTAGATTAATTTTATCGACAAAAGTTTGCATTTACCGTGAACTCGTTTGAGGCAGTCTTCAACCCCTTAGTTACATATACGAACTTCCTCTTTCATCTTCAAAGGGTTGCTGTTCTTGTTACTAATCTTCTCAATCTGATCATAATCCTAATCAAACCAACGAATTCTTCATAGGCGAAAGAGAGACAGAATGATTCTCGTTGCGTAATGCCCTGGAAACCTTATAGCGAGTTTACTTATAAGTAAAGTTTTAAGTTATAATTATAAGCAAAATTAAAGTTAAATATTTTTTTTCCCATTTAGATGGATTCGAAAGCTTCCTATTCCTCTTCCTCTATCACAAATTTATGTATTTTCCAGATTCGAAACCTGACCCACCTATATAGTAGCCAGCAACGCTAATCGCCATACTAGTCAGAATGACGTGAGAAGAATAAACATACCTAGCAATTTACAAAACACTGTAAAGGAATGGTAAAGGTTTAAAATACATAAAATTATGAAGTGTGAAAAGTTTTATAACGGACGTTGTTTTGAACTACAATTATGCACAGAGAAATTAATTCTCTTAGGAAGTATGAGTTCTAATGATAAGAAGTAATATATTATTCGACATTAAGCGGTTACCTTGTAGGATTTATATTTATTTTAAGTAACATTTATTTTAAGTTTAAGCTATCTTTCCTGTCAAGACTTTACTTCCCCTAGAACTGCCAATGCTAGAGTATGTAAATTGTAGTAGAGCGCGCAGTATATTCAAATTTAGCAAAAGTAAGTTGAGTTTAAATAGAAGGAAAACGAGTTTGTAGGTGTGCTTTCTGAATCGCGAACGTGAAGGTTGCTAGGTCGAAATTTAAGAACCGCGCGTTTCGGCCTGTGTGCCTATCTTGGCAGTTTCTGCTGAATCCTTCAACTGCTTAATTAGTAACCTCGCTGAATCTCAGCTGTATTTTAGAACGCGGTTAGGTTAGTTAAGACCTCAGAGCCTCGTGGGTAGTGATCTAGCTATTTATTCATCCAGTCGTTTTTCAGTTTTACATTCTGTTTCTGTTAAACCGCCGGGTCGGCGTAGTTTGCGAGATTCAAGTGGATGCAGCTGTTATTTTTAAAGTTGAATAAAAAGGGCTTTAAACCCTTCTTACGTGTCTGTGTAATTTTACACCTGGTAGCAGTCACTACGACTATTGCGGACAAGTTGGGGGCCACACGATACTTCAACTTGATACAGCACTTTTTATGAAAACGAAAGAATAATTAATTACCACTATGTGTTTTTTAAAGATAAAAACTTTTATGGCACTATGATGTTAAGAATATGAGTTACGGTAACGTCTAATGATTGTTAGAAGACTGATAACAAGAAAATATAAGATATTTTATTATTGTTTATATCTTTAGAACATCTTCGACTAGACAGATAACCGTAAACCACAGATGAAACTCGTTTGCTGAATTCAAGTTTTCATCAACTGTAAGTGTTTGAGAAGTTTCATTTCAATGCCTCAAAATGTGTCCCATATGCAATACATCGAAATCGCGTTCTAGCGGAACATCTTTGGAAAGCACTGGTAACTTTTCTTATATAATATTATAGAATTCAACATGTTTGTAAACGTATTGTTCATGATTCTGACGTTGGAGAAAATATACACAGCAACAGTTATTAATAGTTCTTGCAAAATTAGTAGCATTCTCAAGCTCTGGAAGAATGATTGTCAGACCCGAAATTTCATACTTCATAATCAGAAACCAGTCAAGACTCCTTTACCAGTTAAATCAATAACTTACAATAAATAGCTTATTTTAAACCTCTAGAGGAATTGGAAATGCCAAGATAGAGAAGGAACAGGGTACCTTTAGACTCTTTATCAAACTTAAAAATAGACTCAGGAGGTTTCACAATTTAAAGTTTTTCAGCCGTTTCATTTGCACATTTTTATAATGAAAATGTATTAATTCATTATTACCTTACTAAGATCTACAAGGAAATATGAGTTTAATTCTTAAACTTTAAGAGTAAATTCGTTGGCCTATACAGGACACATTTCATGCGCTCATTTTTATCAAACTGATTTACAATGACTAGAGTTCATTTTATAGAACTTTTAGGTGCATACAATAATTCTAAACTTACTATATTTTTAAGGAAGCATTCCCAAATATTTATGATTTTTAGATATGCTCAGTGTTTTTATTTTGTGACATAAACTTGCATTTTTATAATTTTATACAAAATTGTGTTTTTCCCCATCCTTCCTCTTCTAGCTGGATATTCCCGGAAAAAGTATTCCAACCGGTTCTTCCATATCCTTGGGTTCACATGGTTATGATCCATATGAAGAGCCAGATATGAGGAGTATATTCTACGCTAGAGGACCAGGTAATATTTCAATTCTGATGCCTAAAGACTATTTAAAATTTAGTGCTTAATGAGATATTTTAGTGCACGTAAATATTTATATTATGTTCTTTTGGACACAAATAAATGTTTAGAAATCTGCCTGCTTCTTCTATGTTCAAGGTAATCGAAGTTTAGCATAAATTTATAGTGAAAATCATTACAGAATAGTTCTGTTCGTTTTTCATGTGCAAGACAATTTCACTAAAACTAGATGGATTTTTATAAAGTTTATACGAAACCGGTGTATTAATAATTATGTATAACAGTTAACTTGGATGGACCTAATTTAAAAACACATACGTACTATGTCAGATGGCCTTGTAAACTGCAAAAAATAAATCATCATTTGATAATATTTCTTCGTCACATTTTTGAATAATTCCTCGCAAAAAACTTTATCTTTTGTATCGCCGATGAACGTATTATTTATATTCATGCAAATAGCAGATACGAAATTTTGACATAATCTCATTTTGGTCAAGTGAATCAATGGAAGCAGGCATATTCATTGTACTAACCTTTGATCTTCGTAAAATATAATCTATGTTATACGTTATCAAAAAAGTGTTTTCTTTTATGCGTTCATGTCGAAGAAAGTAATGCTAATTTATTGGCTAAATCCCATGTCGAAATCATAGAGAATATAATAACACTGCTGAGCAGCGAAAGAGTAAAGCTTCTAATCAATTTCAAACTTGTCTTGGATGACATACGAAGATATGATGCCATATTGAGTATTAGAAGCGTGAGCTGTATGGACATGATTAAAAGCAAAGATTTGATACTCAGTATGGGATGTATAAGAAAAAATTCTGAAATGATTTACAAATTTCGAAGGTTTTCGCCTCCATGAGAATTTCAGAGCTTTTTTTGAGAGGGACAAAGGTCTATACAAGCAAAATAGAATCGATGCAATATTAGACGTAGTCGTGAATATAAAGGAAGTATTAGAATGAAAATTATGGTAGTAATTCGAGGAAGTAAAGTATTCAGTCTGAGCATGAAAAATCTTTAGATATAATTTATCAGTTAATGGCAAATTGCACAAGGGCTACTTGCGTAAGAGAAGAGAAGCGGTCATGTATGACATTTCTAAGGAAAACTGACATGCATTTACGATATTCTTGGGCTACTAACGAAGCAGACTTAGACAGACACATAAGCAGACAGCCCTTTTTCATGCTTTGAACTCGGATCAAACTAACATTATCCCCAGTCTTATTCACTCGGTCACTTGTAGGCAAACAAAAAGGAGGTAGATAAATGGGAATCGCACAATATACATTAATAATGAAGAAACACATTCAGCATTTGAAAAAGATTAAAAATAATTTTCAAGTCTAAAAACGTCCCATAGATTGTTACACAGAACTATAGAGTAACACAATTCCTTGGAACAAAAATAAGTAATTATAGCATAATTCATTTCTGTTAATTATTACCTGTATTTACAGTAAACGCAATCGTGTAAATATTTGTATGTGTAGTCAATAACCATGCACTTGCAATCTACTCAATCATTAAAATGTCTCAAGTATCTGCACAGAGTAACACGTAAAAGATTTTTCAGATCAGTATTTTAGAAAATCTTGTTTACTAACACGTTTTATATTTTATTTTTTAATATTTGCTCGAAACTGCTATTACCTGTTCGCTAACTTTAATTAAGAAGTTGGAAGTAATTTTGGAATTGGCTGATGGATAGTCATTCAATGTGAATATCTGTGGCAACCTTAAGGTGAGTTATGGAATGAAACTGATAAAATCTCTACATATTTATTCTTCTGACCGGAATTCCATTATGCGGCAAAGTGTCAGAAACCAATGGAAAGTGTATGTGGGATAGAGCCTGGTGTTGTTGAATTGTATTTTGTCGTTAACTTCTGCTGAAGAACCCTGCTCCGTGGATACTAGTTTCAACTTTTGCTCTAAACATTACTTCTAAACGAAACGAATATTGTGTCACATACAGTGAGATGTAATCTACAAGCTGTGATAAAGCAATGTTCTCTTTTTCTCATTATTTAATCTGAAATGATTAATCACATGCATTTTTCAATTTATTTAGCATTTCTTATGGTGTCTATGTCAAGAAAACTCTAAATCAGTTGTATTTCCTTTATATAAGTATGACTTTACTTTTAGGTTTGCGAAGAAACTACATATCACCTCCTCTGCATATTGTGGACATTTACAACATCTTGTGCGACCTTCTTGGCATAGAACCTTTGCCGAATAATGGAACAATAAGTGCGACAAAAGGAATGGTTGTGGCAATGCAGTTTTCTTCGAGTCATAGACTTACAAAACTTTCATTAGAATTATCAACAATTATATTTTTATGCTTATACTGGTACAAATATCACAACTGCATATCGTGATAGTGTATAGGTATATTTTTGTATAATTTTTATTAAAGTTTGATATGAAAATGAATGGTATTCTTGTTCTAAAATGATATACCTCAAAATGTTATATTAACATTATTGCCCAGGTATTTAGCATTTTTTATACATGTACAAAAATGTTAAATATTCAGAGATTACAGATCAGATTCTACTTTATCTATCAGTAGAAACAAACGACATATTCTTAGGAGGTTTACAAGTCATGAAGGAATATGAAACGTTCTTTCCATTATTTAGAATAACTTTACATTTTAACTGAATTACTGAGTCATTAAAATATCCATTTACATGTCTATCCGTAAACTTATTCAGTAGTATCCGAGATTAATTGTTTCAAGAACAGTTTCTTGTTTAACACCTTTAAGTTGGAAAGAAAAACTAAAGACTGTTTCCATTCATGAGAAAAAGGAAAACCTACAATAAAATATGTGTATAATAAAATAAGAATTATAAATTGGAGACCATTACAAAATACGACGGTGATAGATTTAGTGAAGTTTAATAAAACTATTAATGAACTGGATCTTTTTTTATTAAATAGGAAACGCCATTAGAATCGATCTGAAGATGACTTTCAGTTACAGAAAATGAAATAAAAGCAAAGTGAAAACTACTGTGTATGCAGGTCTATGTCTTTCGTTTTGACATTCTAAACAAAACTACTTAACCCATATTGGATCACTTTGAAACTTTCCGCCGGAAAAATGTAACACTTTAGAGATATCAATAATATGATGTAGTAACACACGTAAGATAAACATTTTCAGATATTTTTTGGATTTTACAGGCTTACTATTAATAGGACAACGGTCCAATACACTATTTTACATAAGTTTGCTTACTTAAGAGGCAATTAGCAATGGAAAGTGGGAAAGAGGTCAAAGACTAACATTGCATTTAATTTACAAATAGTTGTTAGTTTTATGTTGAATATTTTTAACTGGCATCTTTTCTGTGGTCTCTCCGGATTTGTTACTTTCAGTGACATTAAAAGTATAATTATTTACTTGTTTTGCATACCGGTTAGTTTCTATAACTGTATGCAATATCATATCTTCAGCCATCGTGCGAAAAGTTCAACTGGAGCTTTTCCTGACCCTGACACCATATTTAGAATATTTTGATGGTCTTGAAAAGAAATACAGCTTGGTGAAAGCATAAAATGGGGCTCACATTTTCCCACTGAGAAGTTTTTACATCAAATTAGGTTCGTCGCTGTTCTTGATAAAATTTCTATAGCTCCTGCGGCATCTTCTATTGCAAATGCGTCACATAATACTAATATGTTACTATTTGTGGCAGAATCATCTACCTTTCGTTCATCACTAACTGAATCAGATTCAGGGGGAATAGTAACCATTTCGAGCTAATCAATTTCTCCGTCAAAAAGAGAATTCATATACTCATGAGCCTCTAGAGTTGTCAAAAATTTACTTACCATTTTAAAAATATTGATCTTTCAAAGACAACTGAAATTTTTACTCAAGTAATAAACAGGGAAGTAACTGATCTACTTTACAAAAAAATACTGAGGATTATTTCTCCCAAAAGAACAAACGCATGTGCAGTTTTGTAGAAAGGTTTGATCTGATGTCACCCCTTTGAATGCCGCAGGGGAACCATTAGGATACAGGGTCAGAATAAACCTTCCAGGCTAATTTCTACTTAGATTATTTATTTATTTTATACAAACGTACACCTAGTACTACTATTGCCAAGGAAACATGACATAGGCGAACGTTCTTTTACTCGGAAAAACGTATTTAGGAGATAGTGGGACATTTTAATTTTGTAATTTGAAACAAAAGATATCCAAAGAAGATTCTGCAATAATATATTCTCGAATCCTTCCATATGTAACGTTAATGTCATTGTATGGATAGATATTGTTCAAAATTGGTTTCAAGGAATTCAGGATAGTGACGAGCGAAGAACAGTTGGGGATCGGAGCTTTGTCCTATTTACAGGACACATAAAAAATGCAAACAAAATACCTTGGAAAAATATTTTTTTCATGGATATTTTTATTTCTATAAATAGTACTAGCGGTCTAATATGGGTTAAAATAGAGTGCCTTAAGTGACTTATTAACAGCAAGAAAATACAATAATATTTCATTGAACCAATTACTTTTTATTTTTGAGTATCGTTTTTAAGAAGCGTATTATTTCAATATAACATTTTAAATAATTCAGCTGTAGTAATAAAATAGATTGAAACTGCGTTCTGATAAGACTTATAATTAAAGACACATGAATATATTTTGAGTCATACGGCAGTAAACAATTGATTAAAGTTCATGCATGTTTTAGAGCTGTTTTTAAAACCATTTATAAAAAATCAAATAATAGCAGAAGAAATTGAAAATAATCATATCATGGCAACAAGAAATTTTTCTGTCATTTTAAGAATTATTTAAAACGCATAGTTCGCATAATTTTCTTCGATCGCTTCTTAGAAGAGTATATCTGCCAACTCGTATGATTTAATTTCTCTTAATCTCTGCGAAACCTGTTCCAGGTTAAAGATCTTACATCCAAAACTACGATTTTTTTACGAATTTTGCAGTTTTTTATAAAGGTGCTCAAACTGTATCAAATTGATTTTTCTCGACAAATCTGTGTTTAAACTCTATACCTCTTGGCAGGTAATCGTGTTACAGATTGAACATCAAAAACATTCTTCTTTATTATATCAAGCATGATTTTTTTCTTTTGATATAGTGAATTTCTTTTATTGTACCTCTCCATACAGCGATTTTAAGACCAATTTGCTTGTAAAAATTTTAATATGATGGTTTGCGAATTTCATGACGATTTTTAAACTAAAATTATGTTATAAATTAATTCATTTGTTCAACTTTCCAATTTCCACGACGGGAGTTTTTCGTCGTGTAGTTGCTTTAAAATATAAAATAATATGTGTCAGATTTTTATGTAAAGTTCAGTATTCACTTTTTTAGAGCCTTTTAGGATTTTTTTCTCACTAAGTGAGCTGGCATACAAAGGAAACAAACCTATCATTGGTCGAGGGTAAAGTCACTGGTAATTCGTGACTTTTCTGATGTATAAGGAGAATGCCAGCTAGTCTTCCTTAAAAATTCCGTCATGAAGACAACCATTTCCTTATACAGATAACTCTCGTGTGATTTGCAATACGGTGGGCATAATTCCAAATTAAATCCAACCTACAAAAGAACTATAATCATCATATGTGTTTATACTACATTATGATGCTGCGTTTTTCAGGATGAAAACAATTTTCCTTTTTTACTGGAATTTAGACAAACCACATTAAAAAGTTAAAGAAATGTAAATGTCTAGTATACTGTTAACATATATTAGCTGTTGACTCTTCAAGATGCATGTAAACTTTCATATATCCCTTCAACATCCTACGAAAGACATTTTAATTATATTATTCGCATATTATTTTTATACTTCTCGTAATTTATAATTCAACAAGAAAGCATGGAATAAAAAAAATACAATTTAATAGAATTAAACATTTGAGACGGCTAGAACACTTTGCTTTTTTATTATCAAACTAGTGTTTTTAGAGATGTTCCTAAGAAATGTGGCCATTATACAGCAGACACTGAATTTTAATCTAGAACAAGTTTTACGTTATTGAAGATTTAAATACAGTAATACATTTTATTATTCTTTCATACAGTATTACATTGTCTGCGAAATACATTATATTGTAAGTACTGTAATGAAAATAAAATCTATTGTAAAAATTATATTGTATTTACTTTCAATCGGATTAAATGGTTTTTCAAATTTGGTATTATTTTCTTAATTTTAAAAGGAATTTGATAAATCTTATCAAAATCCATCTTATTGTCAAACACATTTAAAAAAGTGTTACACTTTTAAGTATATAAAACCAATATGGAAACACGTGCTCTTATTATATCTCAAGATTTTAAGCTTTTGATTTGATTTGCATATATTAAAGAACGTCGTCACTGAGACTCGTGAAAGAAATTTACTTTCTTTTCAACATCATTCTTCAATCCGTATAAATTTTTAATCTGATTCAAAACAACCAGAACGAAAAGTATAAAGAAAGCAACACAAAATTACCGGTTGAGATCACGCTAATAGTTTTCACTTTTCAGTTATTTTTTTTTTTTTTATCTAGGCAAAATTGTAACCTTGTGTTGGCATAGATATTAAATAAAACTCAATAAAAATAAGACTGCTGTTTTGTCTAGTTTTAAGTTTTACATTGTCGCTCTTCCAATTAAATTGAAAAACGTTATTTAAGAATCCTCAGATTACTGTATAATCAAAATAAAAACTTACATGAATCTTTTCGAATATATCAGGATATTAATGATTTATAATACTAAAATTCCTTGATCTGCCATTTTAGTAATCGTAGATTTTCTACATATATTATTTTCTAGTGAATCAGAAAGTGAATACCAAGAAGTAAATTCTTGCATTGATCTAAATTATATTTTATTTATCAGACAAAGCAAATGATTATTTTAACACTAGAGTATAGTTTAAAAGCTTACAGCAATTACGATAGTAGAAAATGTTGCAATAAAAACTGTACAGAATTTTATAACATTTATCAGCACTTTGAACAGCATGCATAAGGCACGTGCATCTGAACAACTATACAGATTTCTGTAACTGTTTATCAGCTGCAAAATCCTTCTAAATGAAACGAAAACTATTCCAAAAGTACAATTCAAAATTAACAAAAAAGAAACTGTGTATTAATATAGTAATTACTAACTTTATATAACTGAGAAAAGCATAAATGAATACTTTAAAAGTCTCAAAAGTTTTCCTACAGAAGCCCATCATGAAATGGCAATTAAATTTATTTTCTCGAAAAGAACCAATTTGCGTAATTTGAACCCCTCTTAAAAATAATTTTCTAAAATTAAATTTCAAATTTATTTTTAAAATAATATAAGAATTGGATTGTATATAATGAACAGCGCAAAATTTCGCATAGAAGCAAAATGATGTTTCGTGTTAGATATTAGATGACATTAA